CTTTAAATTCCAAATCAAAGGAATTGCAACACTGTATCATCACTGAAACCACAGCTTTTATTTAAAGCTCACCTACATTAAAAAAATCTAACTAATGAGTGGCATTTATAGACAATTAGATGCTAATTCATTTAAATTCTAATTAAATTATCACATAAAAAGCTAAAATTAGCAACTTCAGTATGTGACTATTTCTTTCCAAGGACACAAAAAAGAACTCTTCAACTCTAAGCATACAAGAATCTGCTGACTTCTCCTCCCTTACCTCCTCCACTCTCGATTCCCTTGCTCCCATCTCTTCCCGGTAAGTCACCATGGTACACCAGCCACCTCCGCTCCCTTAAAGCACAGGTGCGTGCCACTGAACACAACCGACTTAAATCGAACTTAATGGTCCATCGGCAGATCTGGCTGGATCTTATCAAATCTTACCACTCTGCCCTCGCCTCCACTAAATCTTCATTCTACTCTAAGACAATCTTGGAGGCCAAGGACACCCCAGGTTCTTCTTCTCCATCACCAACCGGCTCCTCCATCCAGCCTGTGAGGCAATGCTGAACTTTTCAAATCCAAAGTTGAGGGGATCCGATCAGCTGCCTCTGCCCTTCTGTCTAATACATCCACACCCCCATATCCCCCTCCCACCCCGGCCCCTACCCATCCCTTCCTCTACACCTTCGAACTTATCTTCTACTCCTCTCTCATCACCAGTATAACCTGCATGAAACCAACCACCTGCTCCCGTGACCCCATCCCTACCCCCTCTCACCTCCCATATCCACCTCTTTGCCCCTCTACTCACAGACATCATAAACCTCTCCCTGTCCACTGGTACTGTTCCCACCCCATTAAGAACGGTCATCATCACTCCTATCCTTAAAAAACCCTCCCTGGACCCATCTCTAATCCCAAACTACCGCCCTATCTCCAACCTCCCTTTCCTCTCCAAGGTCCTGAAATGAGTTGTTGCTTCCCAGCTTTGCTCCTTCCTCTCCCACCACTCCCTTCTCGAACCCCTCCAATTGGGTTTCCGTGCCACCCACAGCATAGAAACAGTTCTGGTCAAAATGACAAATGACATTCTGGCCACCTGCGACCAGAGCTCCTTCTGCCTCCTCGTCCTTTCTGCTGCCTTCGACACCGTTGACCACTCTATCCTCATCCACCTCCTCTCACCTCAACCTCCATGGCGCTGTCCTTGACTGGTTCAGATCATACCTCTCACACCGCTTCCACTTAATCTCCACAAACGATTTCTCCTCTAGCCCCCGCACCGTCTCATACGGTGTTCCTCAGCGCTCTGTCCTTGGTCCCCTCCTCTTCAATATCTATATGCTCCCTCTTGGTGACATCATCCAGACATCATCCGTAATATCGACCGGCTCTGCCACTGTCTCACACTGCAGGCCGCCAAAACCTTCATACATGCCTTCATTACATCGAGGCTTGACTATGCAAACTCCTTGCTTGTCAGCCTCCCCGACTCCTCCATCTATAGGCTGCCGATCATCTAGAACTATGCTGCTCGTTTCCTCTCCCGCACCAGGCTCCATGACCCTATAATCCCCATCATCGCCCGACTCCACTGGCTTCCCATCACACAGAGGGTAAAGTTCAAGATCCTGGTTCTCACCTTCAAAGCCCTCCATGGTCTTGCTCCCCCCTACCTCTGCGACCTCCTAACCCCCTACCATCTTACCCACTCCCTCCACTCAGGGGGTTCCGGTCTGCTTCATTTCCCCCCCCCCTTGCTTACCCCACCATCAGCGGGAAGGCCTCCTGCCACTCTGCCTCACCCTTTGGAACTGCATCCCACAGTCCCTCCACCTCGCCCTCTCCCTTGCCTGCTTGAAGACCCATCTCAACAACCTCCTCTTCAACCGTACTTTCGATCACCCTGCTTCCCCCCCTCCACCCTCCAACCCTCCCCAATCCCGAAGTGAAAGGCGCTATACAAATGTAATTTTGTTGTTGTACTCTGATGCAAAGCAATCAATAGCCTGTTTTAGAGCTAGTTATTCTTTAGCGCTATTGTAATTAACAGACAACAAGAATTTATATTGTGCGCTTCATGCAGGGTGGAAGCTTGGAGTACTTAACAATAGCATAGTTTGAAACTGAATCAAGGAGATAGGGGAAGGCGACACTAGGTATAGTTGAAGAGGAAAGTCTTCGGGTGCAATCTGAAAACAGGCAAAGAGGGAATGGCAGAGGGATTGAGTTGAGTGGAAATTGAGCATTTAACAATTATAAAAAGTGAAAAATTTGATTGATTGTTTTGCTATTCTTCTTTATACTTGGGAGTGGCTCAACTCAAAACTGAGCTGATTATACTTCATCTCAAGGGGCAGATTTCTACTCATTTGGAATCTGGAATGAGTTCCAAAACAGTCCACAATATACTACTAAGATACAAATTATTACTTATCAAATGCTTGCAACGTTAAACAGCCAACATTGCACTGTTTCAAGTTGTGCGTATAACGCACAGAAAGTGACATTAGTGGTGCTTGCTGTGCACACCATGAAACCTGATGACCCATGCACCAGAAGGTGTTTTTTTTTTACTGAGAGCCTGCTTATCAGCCAAAGAGGTCACATACATAATGCTTTCTGTTTTGTGTGGATCCATAATAAACCTGTGTTAGAAGCAGATCTGTGATAATTCAAGGCATCTTTTTACAGGGTTGCATTATATTTCTAACATTACTGTGAAATTTAATGGACTTGGAGTGTATTATATTGAATTTGCTACAGCAAGAGACTGAATTTTGCTTGTATTCTATTATATTGTGCTTTTGAAGTTAAGAGTTAAATATTCATAATTTCCATCCCCATAGTACTTGTTTTCTGAAATTACACATCAATTGTATAAATTGATCAAAAAACAAAGACTTGCAAGTGAGAAGCCGATCAATTCATTCTGTAGAAAGGAAGCTATGATACATGGTTAAATAAAAGTCTCTAATTGTAACATTAAAACTACACTTTTTTGTGGTCACCCAGGAGTCTGACACATGAGGAAACTCATCATCACGCTTAAGAGTATCCAAACTAAGCTGAGAATTTCATACCTCCCACATCTCCACATGGAAATCCCAGAGATAGATTGTTGGAATGGAATACACACTCTCCCCGGAGGGACGTATTTTGCTTACTTAATTTCGGAAAGTATTAGGCGCACGTTGGCAAAAGCCAAGGCTTGGAAACCTCGGAGTGTGTGTTGGGGTACTGCTGGAGTGTAAACTGCCAATACTATAGCTTGCCATTGATATTGCTGTCCAGCAAGCTTTCCTGCTGTTTGTCCAGCCAGGACCACCCTACCCGATAAGGCTTAGGCTTGCAGGGTTCATAGTAGCTGAGTGAGATGCCTCCCTACCACCAATCACTGGTTTGCCCTTCCAGATCCTGCTGATGAGCCCACCTGTGGTGGTGGGGGCATTTAAATAAGTGCATTTCATTTCATTTTAAACAAAATTCTCTCTCCACTGGATGCATATACAGAGCAGATGTACAATTAATTGCAGAATACACACTTTATAGTCCATTCACACAAAATGTCACCTGAGAGTTAAGTTCCTTCCTAAATGGAATAAGCTATAAACCCTCACATGCATACCTTTTACCTCAAAAACAACCAAAAGATCCAAAAAAAATCAAAGATAAACAATTCTTGTTTTTTTTGCTGTAATCAACTGTAGATTAAACAATAATTTTTATGAATTAATAAAATTAAAGATCTCAATTTCTGCATCTTTTGTCAACTATAGAATACTGTATTCCCATAATTGTTTTTAAAATTCAGCTGAAAAGAACAAAAAACATTGGGCATTCAGAAGCAATACTGACAGGTTTTGTAAGATGCATCCAGTTGTTACAACAATCATACCTTTGAAAAATTAGATTTCAGGTTTTCAGTCTGCTGTGAATGGACTTGGAGAAGCAACACTAACCATGTGGAATACAAAGTGGTGGTGACAACCATGCTTTTTCACCACTGTAAACCACAAACAAAATTTTGAGATAACAAAATATATTAATGGCTATGGCCATCCCTCTGCATCAAGAATTGTCACTTGTAATGTAAATATCAGTGAATTTTAAAAAAAAACAGATCTTACATAAAAGTTTATTCTTAAAATTTTTTTTAAAAACTCTTAGAATGTAAAATTGTATGGAGTGTGTGCCAGTGGAACATGCAGTTGGCTCAAAAAAGCTTTTCCCCCACATTATAAACAATAGTAAGTTGCATTTATGTGGCATACTTCACATAAGTTAATATCTTAGAGAGGTCTATAAACTGGAGCTTCATCCCAAAGCATTTCAAAAGCAGACCAAAAAGATTTAAATTCCACAACAGAGGTATTCAGGTTTTCTACAGTTTTGCATTTTGGACACAATGGCCATGTGCTTTCAAAACAGCTTTAAAGCATGATCAATGATACCAAATCCTTATTTACACAACCAAATCCCTATTAGCTTGAAACTGTTGTCACCTTCCAGCACAGAGTAATATTAAACTCGCTGACTACAGATTGAGGATGGAGGATGTATCATTAATATAAATGATCGTCTGGTACATTTTGGAACAGCAATCCTGATTGTTCCTTCCAAATTAGCAAAAACTCAGATGATATAATATGCTGTTTACAAATATTCATTGAGCTATACACCTTCCATGTAATGTTTCCATCAACTATAGTTAACCTCCTTCTCATTGCCAGCTAATATGTGGTCTTGTTTTAATCAGATAAGATATCAAAGTGACATTTTTGCGATAGAATACCCAAAGTATTCCTCGAGGGAAATCTGACATCTTTTGTTCCTCCAAATGCAGGGATACTTAATGTAACAATACATCACGTCTGCATGATCGGAATTAAAATGTTTAGAGAAGAAACATAGCAAGGTTTTGAATAGTACCCAAAGTGAAGCCACTAATGCTACCCAGATAACAACAACTGCACGGTAATAAAATCTTTTTATTGGAATGAGCTTACCTTAACAACAGGATTCAATAGGACTACTCCGGATTTTTTTGTGATCACCTGTTTTGTTGTATAATGATGTTCAATAAGTTGAGGAATTGTGGGAAATCCAGTTCCTTCAAATCGATACTGATTCTGTGTGAAACATTCAAAAACATGAAAGAATTAACCAGAAAAAGAAAACAATGAGCAAATCAAGCAGCACAACATGGACTCGTATTGCACTTGTCACATATAACATCTCACCACCAAGCGCAGATGGAATTTTGGGAAGGAGATCCAGAGAGTTGGGGTATAGTGGATGAAAGCTCAGGTTCTAATAGTAGAGGTGAAGGATATGGAAAAGGGCCAAAGTTGGCAGAATTCAATATTTATTGAGATTCTAAGATCTGCCACAATCTAATGAACTGGTGGAACAGGCGGGCTGGGCTGATTGATCTCCTCATTTTGCGGAGTTGCGGAGGTGGGGGAAGGCAGAGTAGGTCATGGCACGGATGTGGGGTAGAAAGGATGGTGGAAGTCAAACAAGACGCCAAGGTTCTGGACTGGCTGAGTAAGGTGGAGTGTGCATCCATGGATGGTGATGCTGTCAGCGCCTGAGGTGTGGAGGTGCTGATGGGAGCCAATCAGGAGGGCCTCGGTCTTGTTGCCATTCAATTGAAGAAAACTAGTTCTCATCCAGGACTTGATGTCTGACAGATATTCTGTCAGGACAGCAGTGGTTCTGGAGTCAAGGTTGGAGGCAGAGAGATAGAGTTGGGTGTCATCCCCATTAGTGTGGAAGTTGACCCCATGTCTGCGGATGATGTCACCAAGAGGGAGCATATAGATATTAAAGAGGAGGGGACCACGGACAGAGCCCTGAGGAACACCGCACAAGACGGTACGGGGGCTAGAGCAGAAACCGTTTGTGGAGATGAAGTGGGTGCGGTGTGAGAGGTACGATCTGAACCAGTCAAGGACAGAGCCGTGAAGGTTGAGGAGAGGTGGTGGATGAGGATAGAATGGTCATCGGTGTCGAAGGCAGCACAAAGGTCAAGGAGGCAGAGGAACAGAATATAATTTGTCACTTTGACCAGGGCTGTTTCTATGCTGTGGGTGGCACGGAAACCCGATTGGAGGGGTCCGTGAAGGGAGTGGCGGGAGAGGAAGGAGCAAAGCTGGGAAGCAACAACTCGTTCCAGGACCTTGGAGAGGAAAGGGAGGTTGGAGATGGCACGATAGTTTGAGAATCCTTTTAAAAATAAAGAGATTCAATAGGGTAGATACAGAGAAACTATTTCCTCTGGTAGTGGAATCCAGAACAAGGGGGCATAATCTTAAACTTAGATCTAGGTAATTTAGGAGTGAAATTAGGAGGCAGGTTTTCACCCAAAAGTACTTGGAAACCTGGAACTCTTTCCCGCATAAGGCTGTGGATGCTGGATCCATTCACATGTTCAAAACGGAGATAGATAAATATTTGTTAGGTCAGAGTATTGAGGGATATGGGGCAAGAGCGGGTAACTGGACTTGGAAGTACAGATCAGCCATGATCTTATAAAATGGCGGAACAGGCTCGTGAGGCAGAATAGCCTACTCCTGTTTCTATGTTAACCTAACAGTAATTGGATTTTTAAAAAAAAAAAAAACTGTCCTTAATCCTTTCAAAAATAAAGATTTCCACAACATCTGCCATGCTGATCACAGTTTATCAAAGAACAAGCTCCCAGCTGAGCTACATTTTAGCTTTTTGTACAACAAGGAGACAGAAGGAAGATGTAAATATTACTGTTACGAGTGCATAACCCAACATCTGTGATCCATATTTCCACATCATCTCGGAAGAATTGTCTGCTGAAGTGCAGGGATGCAGCTGTTACAAGGACCGGTGAGTGTCAATTTTAGCCTCTATGGTCAAATTGCAACCAATTGTAAAATCAGTTAGAAATATTAAATTGTTATTGTGGATATTTGTAGACTCCATAACACACAGAGGACCAAGGAACATCTACCCGGATTAGATTTTCTGGTACAATATTTCTCAATTAGACCCGACCTGTTATTAATCAGAATCATTGGAACAAGAAATAGATAAAATTTCTTGAGGCAAAATGCTTGAGCCTTATCACAATCTACAAACACTTTAAACAAGAAACTGCATAATATATTGAGAACATGAATATAATTAATTTTCTTAGGTATAGTACGGAAGATTCTTGTCATTGCAGAAGTGAGCTATTGACTAATAATCTGAATGGAGAGAAAAGAATCTAATAACCATAAAGGAATAATTGCAATAAAAAGATGTTTGAGGCACTATACCGAAGATTCTACAAAAAAACATCTGACATTAAATAGCAATTGAACGTTTGACACATAAAACATGCACACTCTCCATTCCACGCAGAATATACACTTTTCCACACACAAGCTCGGGATTATAAAAATGCTAATAAGGTGCATAAATTGCTGCCTTGGCAATTGGAAAGTAGAGACAATGAATACAATTCATGAGGTGGATAATGAGAAAGGATAAATAACGTAGTCCACATGCAATCAACAACTCCCTTAAAACAATCCATCCAAGGCTTTGTACTTGGGGTGGACCCAAGAGAATCAGAGCAACTTCCCCCATAAGCAATTTAAAAACAAATCTATTTATCAAAATTGACAATGGTTCAAACAAAACACTTTTACAGCAATAAATCAATGCTTTGCATGGTGCTCCAAGACATAGTATCATAATGTAAAGGGATGTATATTTAGAGTTAGCACCTGCTGAATTCCTGAACTTAGTCATGGTAGATGGGAGTATCAAGCAGAGTGCTAAGCACCTCTCCTTGGGAGGAGGAATCACCAGATGTGTTGGTTTAAACATGCCTCCAGATAGTTAAACGGAACATTGATGAGTAGCCTCATAAGGAACGTGTGAGTGAAGAATGGGAGGGACGTTGGCTCAAAGAAATCTTATTCTAATGCGATGCAGACTTTAATATATTACTAACATTTCCCTACAACAACTTGTATTTATATAGCACCCCTGACGCAGGGCAGTGTCCCAGAGCGCTTGACAGTGGTGGAGCATGGTGCCGAGGTGGGTGGAGGTGACTGCAGGCACAGTCGAATAAGAAGGTCTTCAGTCACAACCTGAAGATGGGGAAAGGGACATGGCGGAGGGATAGAGGAAGAGTGTTCCAGAGTTTCGGGGCTGAAAGCGCAGCCACCAATGGTGGAACGGAGGGCACGAGGGACATACAGAAGCCAGTCAAACGGAAACAGCGGGTTGTGGGCTGAAGGATAAGAAGGTCAGAGAGGCAGTGCAGGTGAGTATGTGGGTGAAGTTTTGGATCAGCTGGATCTTGTTCATGGTGGAACTGGGTAGACCAGCAAAGAGTGCATTTGAGAAGTCGAGTCGGGAGGTAACGAACGCATGGATAACTGTTTCAGCTGCATTGGGGGATGAGGTACGGTCGGAGGTGGGCAATGTGGAGGAGGAAGGCGATATTGGTCAGGGACTGAATGTGGAGAACAGCTATGGATCAAACCTATCATCTCGGTTGCGTACTGCTTTGGTAAGTCTGAGGGATAGGCCAGGGAGGTTAGAGCCACAGGATAGACAATGTTGACGGGAGCCAATGAGTATGGCTTCTGTGTTGTCAACATTTTCGGTCTAGTAAATTACCAGTGTATCACAGCTCGCTAATGTTTACTACAACACTATTCAGATTCATAAACATTTAAGTTTACTTTTGAAAACATTCCTATCTGGACACTGTTGGTCCCTGGAATTAGTTGAGAAGGGTAGATAAAGGACATTAAAGTCATTTAACCATATAATAAAAACCTGGCAATTTGTTCCCCCCAAAGAGTTTGGAGCTCACACCACTTTTCTGTACTCAATCTTGTGACAATACTCCTGAAGGATAGTCTTCTAGAACTGTGACTAGTCTTAACAATCATCAACAAATTCTGATTTTTCAAAAACCTGAACTATTTAAGGGTGTATAATTAAGTCGATCTTCAGGATCATTAAGACAAAGAAAACATTTTGCAGTGAAACATAAATCAATTGCCATCTTGAAGATTGACTGAACAGTGAATACTGAGGGCTGAGCTCAGTATGAAGGCCAATAATGATGACCAGATGATGTTTTGGAAAAATAAGGATATGCGAAGAGAAGTCTTTGCGGGGCATGGCACGGACAAATCAAAAGCCAACATGCCAATTTTTCCAATGTAATTATCTTAAAAGAGACACTATATTTGTATTTTGTAGATTCTTAGCTCTCCAGCCTTAAACTGCTAGTACATGGGAAATGATCCTGCGCAGAATATGTTAAATAACTATCGAGGCAGCTGCCTTCATTTATAAGAATATATAGCACTGGTAAACTTAGAGAGCTACATAAGTATCAACTAATATCCCATGACACAAATGTCAATTCCTGTTGAGTAAAGTTTTATTATTTTGTAAATAACGTGGCTTTAGTCAGTGATTTAAACTGGTGGATAATCATATTCAACTCAAATATGCACAAAGGATGACAAAGGATGAAAGGAAATAAGTGCACAAATCATGTCATCTTCACGTTTCAAATGTTTTTCTTGTAATTAACTTGTACTTACATCTGCGTACTGGATGATAAAGTGTCTCCGCTGCCCATCTGAGAAGACAGAGAGAACGTATTCACCAGGTTTGCCGTGGCTCTCTCTGACGAGGAAATCTCCCTGCTGTTTCAACAGCTCTTGTGCTTCTATCCGAGGAATTGCTCCATGATACCAGTCTTGCTCTGCTAAGGGTTTCTCACTGGTGGGCATCACATCAAAGAACTAAAAAAAAAAGGTATTTTATTTCTGAAGAACATGCATTCAACATTCAATGTATTATGTTCAAAACAAATTATTATTATTATGGGGTGGAATATTTTTATGGATTAATGTGGCAGATGCATTTCAAATGTAGGTAAATGGAAGATAATGCATGATGGTAAACAATTCAGCGTTTGATACATTTGTAAAATGCCTGAAGACGAGTGTGTGTTGATGAGGGAATGAAAAAGAAAGGCACCCTATAAACTCTGATATCTCAATCATTGAAAATATCTAATTCAGATGAATTTCTCATTTCTAACCTTGTATAAATATTTTAATAACTGGCACTATCTATAATACCAGTGTATCAAAGTGTAAAATAAGACTATTTTAAGACTCAAAGTTTCCGCCCAATCGGTTTGAAAGCCACAAAGAAATGGGTTTGTAGAAGTCCTGCCAGCGACGGAAAACTCTTAAGTACTTAAGAAAAAATTATAATTTGGTCACTCAATCCATGACTGTTTGTGGGACACTACTGTGTGCAATTGACTGCCCCGTTTCGGCCCCAAAGATTCCGTCAATTCACTTCAAAACGTATTCCATGAAGAGTTTTGGGACGTCTCGGAGACGTGATAAGGCACAATATCAAATGCAAGAATTATTATTATTATCTACTCAAGCCTTTATACATAGGCAGATTGTCCACCATCCCAGCCACAGCTGTCAGACTCCAGATTTTAAAAACAACAAACAATACCAATCACTAAAAGCTTCATATAAATGTAAAATGTCGCTGTTGTTGTTCAACTGATAATCTTGTGATCTGTGCAACTCTACTGCTCAATATCCATATGTACAAACACAATCACACCAGATTGCACTATGAAGAAAAGAGAAAATTAATCTCTTTTCTAGACTGAAAAGTTTAAAAGGAGAATTTCAAAAGAATTCATAAAATAATTAATAGTATTGATAATGTCGTAAACGCTATTACTTCAAAGTAAGCAGCAAATGGAAATTAGTGAATAGTAAAACACATCAGAGAAAGGTGACTTCACTCAGAATGGTAGATGTGCTAAGAATCTACAAGTGAGATAATTAGAGACAAAGTACAATTAGATTTCAAAATGGAAGAGTTAATGGTCTGGATGGACGAGCTTCCACAGACTAAATGGCCTTTTCTCATTCTGAATTTTCTTATGTTATGCATATAATTTCAGTTAATGTTTCAAAAAAGTTTTTACAAAGGAGGAAAAATGCTACAAAATAAAGTTGACAAAAAAGGGCCCTACGAACTTACAGATGAAGTCAGGTAATTCTTTGGTGATCGAATCATTCCAGCTATGGAGTGTCGAATAGAATCAAATTTTGAAACCTTGTCTTTTCCTTTATCCTGAAAATCACAACACAATATTGATAAGAGATAAAACATGATGAAAATGTTACACTGTAAACCCATGTTGAAACATTATGCAATGCTTATTATGCACAAAATACAATAGCTTTTAGTCACTTCATATTCTAAAACATTAACAGTTTTAAATATTTCCTTACGTGAACATACGTAGTTCCAGTCAAAATGAAGGCCTAGAATCTTTCTAATAAACCTTTTCCAGTGTTTCTCTGTAACAGGATCTTACTAAACATGTCACTAAAGTCCTGGTATTAACTCTTCCTCCTTTCCTGGAATAACTAGACTCTGTTCAATGTTTCCCCAAGAAGCTGTTCGGAAGACAGACAAACTCGCTGTGAGAAATCGTTGTCACAAATGAGCAACGTACTTTATGTTGAGACTTTTGTTCTGCTTCATTATGCTCCTGTTTTAAATCATGTAATTTTTGTGAAGGTTTATGGGACCGAGGTTCATATCAGCCACAGGCTAATTAGACTTCTCTTCCCTCAGCCGGTGAGAAGCCAACGTCAGTTGAAATTGGGCAGTCCTGATCTAGTTACTAAACTACAAACAAATGATGGAAAATCACAGCATGTCAGTCAGCACTTGAAGAAGAAATCTTCTATCTATAGATCTTCTATATATATTATACTAATAAAACAACAATGTCTATCTGCGCTTCAAAAAGCATCTCAATAACCAAACTGATATCAATGGGGGTAAGTGTGAGGTGATACACTTAGGCAGGAAAAATGATAGGAGGCAAAAAAGACTTGGTAGCTCAATCTTAAGGGGGGTGAACGTACAGAGAGATCTGGGTGTTCAAGTAAGCGAATCATTAAAGGTAGCGGGGCAGGTAGATAAGGCAGTAAAAAAGGCATTTGGTGTACTGAGCTTTATTAGTAGGGGCATAGAGTATAAGAGCAGGGAGGTTATGGTTAATCTATACAAAACACTGGTTAGGCCTCAGCTGGAGTACTGCATCCAGTTCTGGGCACCTTACTTCAGGAAAGACATTAAGGCACTGGAAAGAGTGCAGAGGAGATTCACGAGAATGATACCAGGAATGGGGAACCTTAGCTATGAGGACAGGCTGGAGAAGTTATGACATTTCCCATTAGAGCAGAGAAGGTTACGCGGGGACCTGATAGAGGTCTTCAAGATCAATTAAAGGTTTTGACAGGTGAGATAAGGAAAAGCTGTTTCCGCTGGTAGGTGTGTCTGTGACCCGTGGTCACAGTCTTAAGATATCTACCAAAAGAAGCAGAGGGGAGGTTAGAAGAAATTTTTTCACTCAGCGAGTTGTTTGAATTTGGAATGATCTGCCTGAAAGGGCAGTGAAGTGCAATTCGATAACAGCTTTTAAGAGAGAACTGGAAAGGTAACTGGGGAAGATGGGTTTGGAGGGTTATGGGGAGAAAGCTGGTGATTGGGGTTAGTGGAAGTGACTTGCTCTGTCAAAGAGCCGGCACAGACTCGACGGGCTGAATGGCCTCCTTCTGTGCCGTAACATTCTATGAATCTATGAAAATGCCAGTCTGTGTGTCAATCTACATTACATATTGGATCCTTTGGTTGTAAGTGTAGCTGCAATGGGTACAGCTAGTAGGAATATAAATCACATAGCCGACAACTTTTTGTTTTCAGATGACAAATAACCTGATCTTTAATTCCAGCCTTCAAATGTTTCAAACGATTACCTCATGAGTATTTTTGGATGAGAGCTAACTTTCTCCAGTCAAATGTCATCAAGACAGAGGCTCCCTTGTTTGGTTCCCATCACTGCCTTCTCACCCTAGGCACTGACTGCAGCAATCTACATGGATGCACACTCCACCTCCTGGAACCAGTGCTGAACCTCAGTGTCTTGTTCGACTCTCAACTGTACTTTAAATCCCACATCTGTCCTTGACCCTTTCAGCTTTTCCCCCACCTCCACAACACTCCACATCTCCGCCACCACCTCTCCCTTCAGGCCGCCAAAGCCTATATCCACACTTCTATCAATTCCAGGCTAGACTCTGTTTGCTGGACTTCCCAATCCTCCACAAACTGCAGGCCATTCAGAACTCTGCAACTGTCCAGCGCCTTGGGATGCTCCCCAACATGAAAGGCGGTATATATTGTTTTTGTTACGTTCAACACAAAACTGTCCATCACACTCAGAGATGCAACTGGATGGTTGGTTACAATTGGGAGTGGTTTTCTGAGGTTGGGGCACAATAACGTATTATCTTGCAATTAACCATGGAAGGAGTCGCTAGGAATGTTTAATGCTTACAATGAGTGCCTAAAATGGAAATCCGTTCCATTTGCCAGAATGTTCAAGTTAATGAGCACAAAATCATTTAAAATAAGGTTTAAAAAAAAAAGCAAACAACTTACATTGGCATGGAGAATAACATAAAAAGAGCCAGAAACAACAAGATTACATTTGTATAGCGCCTTTCACGTCGGGAGGACGTCCCAAGGCGCTGGACAGAGTTCAGCATTTCAGACCCAAGCTGGGGTTGGGGGGGAAGCGAGGGGAGGGGAAGGGGGGTGGCTGATGGCATAGTTGAAGAGGAGGGTCTTGAGGCGGGACTTGAAGAAGGATAAAGAGGGGGCGAGGTGGAGTGACTGGGGGATGGAATACCAGAGGTTGGGGGCAGTGTGGCTGAAGGCTCTCCCACCAATGGTGGGGCGGGTGGGTCGGGGGATGTGGAGCAGCCGGAGCCGGCTGAGCGGAGGGAACGGGCGGGTTGGTAGGGGTTTAGGAGGTCGCGGAGGTAGGGTGGGGCGAGGCCATGGAGGGCTTTGTAGGTGAGGACCAGGATCTTGAACTGGATCCTCTGAAGGAAAGGGACCCAGTGGAGTTGGGCGAGAGTGGGGGAGATGGGGTCATGGAGTTTGGTGCGGGAGAGGACACGAGCTGCAGAGGTCTGGATTATCTGCAGCCTGTGGAGGGAGGAGTTGGGAAGGCTGACAAGCAGGGATTTGCATAGTTGACCCTAGAGGTGATGAAGGCATGAACAAGAGTTTCAGTGGCCTGAGGGGTGAGGTAGTGGCAAAGTCGGGCGATGTTACGGAGGTGAGGGAAGGCAGAGCGGGTCATGGCTTGAATGTGGGGGAGGAAAGACAGTTGAGGGTTGAACAAGACACCCAGGCTCCTGACTGGCTGGTGAGTTGTCCTGTGCAACTATGGAGGTTGATGTTGCCAGAGCCTGAGGTGCTGAGGCGCTGGTGCGAGCCAATCAGGAGGGCCTCAGTCGTGTTCACATTTAACTGTAGGAAATTATAGTTGATGTCTGACAGCAGTCTGTCAGGAGAGCAGTGGTCCTGGAGTTGAGGGCGCAGACAGAAAGAGAGTTGGGTGTCAACCGCATACATGTGGAAGTTGACCCCATGTCTGCGGATGATGTCACCAAGGGGGAGAAGTAGATATTAGAGAGGAGAGGGCCAAGGACAGAGCCCTGGGGGACGCCAGATGTGAAAGTGCGGGGGCTGGAGGAGAAACCGTTAGAGGCAACAAAGTGGATACGGTGAGAGAGATAGGAATCAAACCAGGCAAGTGCAGATCTGTGAAGATTGAGTAAAGTGGAGAGGCGGTGTATGAGGATGGAGTGGTCGACACTGTTGAAGGCAACAGAGAAGACAAGGAGGACAAGGAGGCAGAGGGAGCCCTGATCACAGATGTTCAGAATGTCATTAGTGACTTTGACCAGCGCTGTTTGTATGCTGTGGGCAGTGCAGAAGCCGGATTGGAGGGGTTCCAAGAGGGAATGGCAAGAGGGAAAGGAGCGGAGCTGGGTCGCAACGACGCCTTCCAGGACCTTGGAGAGGAATGGAAGGTTCGAGATGGGGCGGTAGATGGAGAGGAGGGATGGATCCAGGGAAGATTTTTTCAAGATGGGGGTGATGACAGCTGTTTTTAGGGGGATGAGAACTGAACCGGTGGACAGGGAGGGGTTGATGACATCGGACAGGAAGGGGGGGCCAGAAGGTGGAGCTGGGAGACGAGGAGAGAAGTGGGGATGGGATCGAGGGAGCAGGTGGTGGGTTTGAATTTGCAGACAGTCGTGGTGAGGGAGGAGGGAGAGATAGGGTCGAAGGAGTACAGGGGGAATGGGTGGGGGGTGGGTCATGAGGGAGAGGTGATGTGGGGGTGGCTGTGGACAGGGCTGAGTTGGCTGAACGTATCCCTTTGATTTTAGACTCGAGGAAGTCCAGCATATCCTCACAGTTGGAGTTTGAGGAGAGGATGGGCGAGGTATGGGAAGGTGGACGGAGGAGATGGTTAGTGGTGGAAAAGAGAAGCCGGGGCTCATCCTTTGCCACCAAGATAACCTTGAAGTAGAAAACACCAACTTTCAAATTAAAACTGAATTTAAGAATTTTCCAAATATTCTTTAGGATTATAAATTTCTAAGACAAACTTTGAAGCAATTAGCCATGAATCATACAGCACAATAAGATGTGAATTAAGATTCAGCTGTTATATTAAAATAAACAAAATGCTGAAATGTTTGGGAGACAATTGGATCATCATCAAATATAAATTTTAAAGGGAAAACAAAAGAAATACTTTAGCTATTGTCGGAACATGATTCCCAGTACTCAAGAGCAGTATTAAATGATGGTTGTTCACTCACAAGACAGCATGACCAAATAAGATTGGACAGGAAGAAGAAATAAAGTGCCAGCGGGGAAAGAAATTTGGAAGACAATAAACTTCACACAAAAAGGATTGTGCTATATTTATTTATTGGCTTTGGATCTATTGAGTTTGTGAAGAACAACTTGTTATTTTAAAACAAACCACCTGAATGCCATGTAGAAAATAAAGCTAGGCAAGTTATTTTCAAAATGTAGAATTTAAAACATATTGTAAATGCAAATGTTACGGAACATTTTAGACAAAGGAGTGCAAGATTGTAAATAACTCATAATTCAATTTATGTGTGCTCCTAGTAATTCCAGTTCATGAGTGATTCTCGCGTAGCTGTAGATAATCTGTGCAT